ATGTGACTACTGTGTAGCTAACAGGCATGTAGAACCATGCTGGCTTATTTGTTGAGATGGAGTTTAGCTAAATTTTTGTCTGGGGTGGCCTAAAACCATGGTCTTCCTGCTCTCTGCCTCTTAAGTAGTTCGGATTACAAGTGTGAGTCACTTTACTCAGCTCACATACTAATTTCTTTAGTCCTGTGAGACAGACTATCATTGTCCCATTTTACCAATAAAAACACTGGGGCACAGAGAGATTGTGTGACCTGCCCAATGTCACACAGCTAGTAAGTGGTAGTCAAACCTGAGTCAAGACACAGTTCTGCAAGGCTCTAAGGGGGTGGGTGGGAAAAACAAAACAAAGGAGGTAAATGGGTAGATCCAGCCTATGGGTGGCAGGAAGATCTGTCCTCAAGAGGTGGAAGGACTTCTTGGGCTGGAGAATGCCACTATTTCAGTAGGTCTTGGGCACAGTGAAGAAAGCTGAGGGGATTCTTAGAAGGTTTGGCTCTGGGGTTGGTGGGCGGAGAGGGAGTGGGGAGTGTTAAGGAGGGATACAGGATTAGAACAGTTGGCTCTGGGAATAAGAAAACAATTTGCTGAAGAAGAACCTAGAAAAGGTCCACTAAGCAAGGAACCAAAAGGGGCCTGAAGAGTTGAGCACCCACAGATGTGGGGTCTCAAGTCCCTGAAGGTTGTCAGGTTTCCTGCTGTGAGGTCCTGCAGCTCAGGAGTAGATCAAATAGATGAAAGGTAAAATTCATCCTGGTATGGGTGCAGTCCTGCCAGAACTCAAACCTGGTCTTCCCTGAGGGGTGCGACATGCAACACAGCTAAGAGGAGCTTCCAAAAAGGGGGTGGGGGTCTGAGCCAGGATAAAAGACACCAAGAACAACATAGCCACCAAGGGATTCTGCCCAGTGGGGCTGCTGGGTTTCACCTTGGGGGTCCCTCTGCTCCCACAGAACTTTCCCTGGCCATGGGAAGACAAGCTGCACTGACTGTTTGATCCCAGAACTCCTACATATACCAACATGAACTTCATCACATTTTCTCTTCTCCAGTAACCTCCATGTGTATCTCTTGTCTCTCCATGGGAACTCTTGAAAGCAACTCAGCATCTTCTTTTTGTTTACTCAGCATCTCCTTTTTGTTTCTGGGTTTTTGCTCTCACAAAACCCAGCAGACAAATGTCACAGCATAGGCCAGAGGGGGCTCGAGTGAGCCATACTCATCCTCCCTGGCAAAGCAGCTGAGACCAAATCTCCATGCACAAACAGTATGACAGGAAGTTCCATGCTCCCTCTGTACCATGCCCAACTCCCCAGATCATGTCTCCTGGAACCCATGTGGACCACAGCCATGCAAGAATGGCTCTGCAGGATGGCCTATGGGGAAGGTCTGCCTGTTGCTGCTCATATGTCCAGGCCTAGGGGCCCAGGGTCAAAGACCACCTATTTGGGGATTGACTTCTCAAAGCATCCACATTCTCAGGATATGGCATATGAGACGGTAGCAGATGCAGCCCAGAAGAAAGGCTGCTAAAGGCATGCTGATATGGTTGGGGACAGAGTACCTAAGATGAAGTCCTTCTGACACAGAGCCTCACAGCTGAGCCACCTTTCCTGTAAAGGACAGCATAAAGCCAGGCAGGATTTCCAAAAATTTATTGGAAACACAATATAAACTGCTTAGTAGATGGTACCTCCTCACAGACAGTGCACCCTGTTACTGTGAGAGTGAACTTTCCTAGGAGGCCTCTCTGAGCACTGAGCAGATTCTAGTCAGTGGCAGGGAAAACCAGAGACATGGAGCAGAGGGACAGGAGGGTACACAGAAAACTGGGACATGGCTTTCCTAAGGGCAATGGTGAGGTGGGTTGCTAAATGGTAAATTCTCCCAAAGGAAATGGGGACAACTATAAAGAATAAAGGCTCCTTTCCTTCCCCTAAGCACTTTCTTCTCTGGGAAGAGCAGAACAGAGTCTACAAAAACCTAAGGGGGCAGCTCCTTGTCTCCCTCACCAGTGTCCCAGGACTGGACTGCAGCATAAGCACCAGGCTCGGACATGACCCAGACCCAGAGGCCACTTGCCCTCGTCTTCCCTTTCCCTGCTCTACACTGCTGCATTCTGTGGGCCATCCCAGGCTCCCAAGGCAGCTGGCTTACAGCTGGGGTCGGCTCATTGGAGGCACCCATAGAAATCTTAGGGCAAGATGGACAAGTCAAGCTCTTTCTCCCCCTTCTGCTTCCTTATGGTTCCAGCTCCCACCAATGGGCTTCCTTGGTGCCAGATCCCACCCAGTAGCCCTGGCCCCTGAGCTCTCCTAATACAACCTCCTCACTGTGTCCAGTTGGCCTCAGGGTGGGAGGGAGCTTCCTGCTATTATTTCCCATTTCTGGATTGCCCTCTCTGCTCTTGTTTCTGCTAAAAAAAAAAAAACAAACCCAAAAACCCTCCAGATTAAAAACACTTTGGGTTCTGTTTTCTTGGTTGGGCCCTGCCCAGAAACTAGCCTTGGACATGTTAGAACTGTGAGAGGTTCCAGTTAACAAACTCCTGTCTTTTTTTTTTTTTTTTTTTTTTTTTTTGGAGATACTGGGGTTGGAACTCAGGGCCTCATGCTTGCTAGGCAAGTGCTCTACCACCTGAGCCACACTGCCAGCCCTATTTTCTGTTGGGTTTTTTCGAGATAGGGTCCCATGAACTACTTACCCAGGCTGGCTTTGAACCGTGATCTGCCTGGTCGCTGCCTTCTGAGTAGCTAGGATTATAGGCATGAGCGGCTGATGCCCAGCTTATCCTCCTCTTTTGCACACCTTTAGGACATCAGAGGTGGTGGCGATTACCAAGAAGGGCAGGAGAGATGCCTTGTGTCCTCACCTCATCAAGGGGGCCTGGCCCCATGGTATGTCTGCTGCAGATAATCTTGGGCAAATTCACTCACTCACTCACTCACTCACTGAACAATGGTGACACCTTTGACACACACTATGGCAGCACCATGACCCAAGAAAGGGTGAGGCTGGGAAATCCTCTCAGCACCAAGTGCTCAGAACAGTAAAGGGAAGAAACAGAGGCTCCTTGGCACCTATCCTCCCCATTCTCTGAAGCGTTCCATCAGGATGCTGGGGCTTCCCAGAGATGAAGTGGAGCCATAAAATCTTAGTCCATCTTGTCTCTGTGGGAGGGTGGGCTGCAGAACCAGCTCTTAATAACAAGGTGGGAAAGAACTTTTTGGACACATGGCACTCAAAGCTGAACTGGGACCTGGGCAGGTGCGGCCTCCTGCTCCTCCTTCAATGCTGGTCAGGCCTTTCTCCAAATCTCTTGGGCTTCGTGGAAGGCCTCTCCCACGCCAGCAGCAGAGTCAGGGCAGCTAACTGTCTGCACAACAAGCAGTCACTGTGTGACAGGAGTAGGTGAGGAAAGGAAAGATGGAAGCAATCATTTCCCCTTGTGTCCATGTACCACATAGGTCCAGGGCAAGGCCACAGACAGATAGCTTGCTGAGCCTTCCTTTTCTTTATTTTTTGGTGGTACTGTGGGTTGAACTCAGGGCCTTGTGCTTTCTAGGCAGGTAGTCTACCACTTCAGCCACATCTGCAGCCTTTCCTTGTCTTTAGAGAAAAAACAACCCAAAGGCAAGCTGCCTGCTCTTCTGAGGTCTTTGCTGAAGGAACCTCTCTGTGGGAACCCCAGAAAAATGCCTGCTACTTGCACCTGTCTCGTGGAGCACCTCTGACACAGGCTGTTAGCCAGGATAATAAGCTAAGGCCAGGACAACTCCAAGTGACAGCAGCAGTTGGAATATGCCTTGGTCACCAGCACAGAGGCCCAATGTGGGAAGCAGCTCCTCCTCAGAGAAATCAAGATGCTGCAAAACCGGGCAAGGATGAGGCAGCTTGAGCCCTAAGCACTGCCTACAAACATCCATACTTCATTCTCTGCTGAGCTGAACTGGCCTCAGAGAACACAGACTTTCAGATGCCATCATCATTTCTTGATGCCTCCTTCTTCATAATATGTGGCCTTCAATTCCAGGTGTGGCCACTGTGTCCTGCAATAACCCATTTGGGGCACCTAACATCAGTCCTTCAGCTGCCCTGCAGCTGCACCCCCAAGATGGCTGAGAGGTCAGACTCCAGTTGTCTGTTACAGTGCTGTGACTCTGCTCTGCAAGTGGTTCTTGCCAAAGCGGGTTGGGGGATGGCCAGGCTGTCTGCTCAGGGAGTTAACTGGGCGCTGAGTTACTCCATGCCTGCAGCTGTGCGCACAGGGCAGCAGAGCAGCCAGCTGGGATGTGGCCCAGGGCTAGCACCCAGGGTAGGTAGAAAGAGCCCAAGCCAGTAAATTAGGCAGGTCTCCTGGGGCCTTGGCACATATGCTCACAGTATACTGGGCAGGAGGGATGGGGGTCAAAGAGCAAACTCATACCTGCAGACATGGTTCTCTTCCTCCACTCACCTTAGGCCCAACAGAGACTGTGCTTAAAATAAAATGGGGTGATTTGTGACCCCATGTGGGACTCCCTTGGCTACAGTTCTTTGTCAGCTGGTTTGACTGTAAAGGAACAGGGCAGTAAGCAAATCGTGTCACAGTGATATACAGGCTTGGCACATTTCACACCTGCTTTCACTGGAGTTCTCCAGGACTGAGCAAAACCAAATAAAACACCAGCTTCTCTTCAGCAACAAAACACAGATGCTAAGAGTTGTTCACAGACTGACCAAAGCAAGTACCTTCTCTTCTCTCAGACCGTTGGGTAACTACATCCCAGAGGGGTGGGAGTGGACGAATACAGAATACAGGAGGTGAAGAGTAATACTCTCCTAAGGGTGGGGGAGTGGGGGGGGGAAGGGGGGAACAGCCTGTTGGGAAAAAGCCAAGAAACAGTACCAGCAAAGATCAGGAAATACTACAAACTGTGTAAACACTGCACATTTCTTAAGCAAAATCCACTCAAAAAGATGCCATGTCCCTCCTGTACATAATTATGCAGCATGAAACAGTGGGGCTGGCACATGCAGGGCAGTGGGGGTCTGAGAGCTCAGTAGCCTCCAAGGCCACAGGCCGGGGCTCTTGGAGTAGGGCACCAGAAGCAAGGAGGCGAGTGGCTCCCTGCTCCTCTCAGTTCTCAGGCAGGTCTGCTCTGGGACAGCAAGGTCTCTGAGAAGGAAGCGAGGCACCACTGGTTCACATGTGGAGATGCAGATTTGGACTGTGCATTCCTAGTTTCTTCCCTTCCCCTTCGGGTCTCCACAGGGTGCACAGAGGGCTCCCACTGAAGGGGCTGCCTCCTTCCCAGGCATGGCTGTGACCATCAGCAGGACAGTAGAGTTGGATTGTAGAATGGAACAGGGATAACTCAGTCTGACACACAGCATGTGAGTTCTGCAAAAGGGAAGAAACAGAGTAAAGCTAAATGCGTTCTGATGGAGGAGGTAAGGTGAGAGGGAGGACAGAAGCAGCCCTCCCACCATCAGGACAGGGAAAGGAAGCCAGGAGCTAATTTAAATAAGAAATAATAATGTAGTTTAAGGCTGGACTAAATCCCACTTATCTAGGTCAAGAAAATACCTGAATGACAATTAAGCATCTTCAAAGCTGGGCTTTGGATAGGCAAGTGGCTGCTGGTGAGGGGCTATAGTGCCCCAAGCCAGGATGAGAGTAAGACTCAGCCTGACCCCCTCTCCCCTCCACAATGTCACAGGGTCAGGAGCTGTTCCTATGCTCCTCTACGTCCCCCAAACTTTCAACTCTCCTGTCCCAAACTGGACATCTGGAGACTGGCAACAGAAATGACTTGCTAACAGACCTGGCTTGCAACCTGATCATCACCAACTGTATGTACTAGCCAGCAGGTTGTGACACCTGCTCCTTGATTGTTAGGAAAGAGGCTGGGGCAAGGTAGTGTTTGCTGAGGTGGAGAGCAAGCTCAGACATTCTGTACTCTGCAGCCAGGAAAGGAGCAGGATGCTCACCTTCACAGCCTTGGCCCATCCTGAGGGAAGGAGGGCTGCAGGATGGTGCAGGGCCATGCCTTCACTTCATGAGCCTTTCTAGAACATGGAAGGCACCTGTACACAGTCTGGTATTTGATATGGACTTGGCATGGGTGTGTTAAATAAAGACTAAGATAAATTCAAGTTAAGAATCAATAAACCTTTGCCTTATTGAAACTACTTTAGGTTACATAACTGCCTTGTTGAATCTTTACCAGAACCTTGAGAGGATCAGAAAGGTTAAGAACTTGCTGAAGGTCACACCGTGAGCAAACCAAGGAGTCAGGATTTGAAACCCAGATCTTCTTAATTCAGGTCAAGTTTTTCCTTGTATATCAAGCTGCCTGTTCTCCATCTAGCTGTCTTCTGCTAACAGCCCAGTAACAGGATATTATCTTTTTCAGTATCTTAAGTTAAAAGCTATATATGTGCCAGTATTTCTCAAAAGCATCTCTCCTCCCCTTTTTTTGTGTGGAGGAGGTGGGGGGAACTCTTGTCATTCATTTGTCCAAACCCCTACAGAATTAAACCACCTGTTAGGAGAACAACTTGTAATAGATTCCCAAGTTTCTCATCTACCATGGTAAATCTATGCTAAATTTACCTGCTTACTTTCAAAAGCAACTTCTCCTAGCAGTTCAAGATTTGGTGACCAGGCTCACACCCACCTTCTCCTCCTGGCTATGGTTGAGCTATGCCACCTCTCTGCATCCCAACTGAAGAATCCCAGTACTTGTCATGTGCCCTCACAAGGCTATCACTTCACTCTCCTTGCTCAGAGCTTCTGCAGCCTCACTGCACTGTCTTAAACCAAGGGACAAGGGCCACTTGCAGAAGCCCCTGGTATGGTAGCACTGGCAGGTGGTCCCAGAAAAAGGCCTACTCAATTTATCAGATCTCCTTTCTAACATGGTAACCCAAGTCTTTTCGTTTGTTCTCATATGCATTAATCTACATTTGCTACTTCTGTCTGTACTAAATGATTCATAACCACTTCTTTTTGGTCTTGTTTTTTTTCAAAATGTTCCTATTGGTTTGACTACTCAAAGTACTTGAAGTCTGTGAACTTGGAGAACTAATGCAATGAAAGCAACCTCTTTTAATGTTTCTAACTGCTGGTGTCCAAGTTCCTTTCCTTCCCTTCTGAAAATCAGAGAAGAAACCACCATAAGAATCCTGGCACTGAAAAGCAGATGGTAAATGATGGCAAACTATGCACTCAAGAAAGCTAGGCTTGAGGCTGGCAATGTGGACATAGTCAAAAGCCCAGTTTATCCCAAAAATCCTCAAAGGGATCAGGAAATAACATCAGATGCATCTGAAAGAAGGGCAGGACTGAATTGAAAAGCATGAGTTGAAGGCTGTTTGGAGAAGTAGCCCTAGAGTGCTCTTAACTCCAACCCCCTGGGTAACTGTTTGTCTCCCACCTGTTGGATGTTCTTTGAAGAAGACAAAAGGGAGGGTGTCTCAGGACACCAGTTTGTAGGTAGGACTGCCAGTTCCCATAGGAAAGATCAAGTAAACACATGCCTCCTGAATGGGGCCTCCAGCCATCTTCCCATTGAGCCCCCACCCTCTGGGGAAGAGACAGGAAGAAACTTCTTTAAGGAATCTGACCAGCCCACAAGAAGACTTAAAGATACTGGCATTTGGGGCCACCCAATAATAATCCCAACTCACCCTACTTTTGGATGCACTACAGGCTCCAGCACAGAGCTTTCAATGTGATTTTCAGTTTCCTACTCTTAAACATTATTAGACAATAAAGTCACCAGGTAAAGACTTCTAACATAGTGTTCATGGCTCATGCCTGTAATCCTAGCTACTCAGGAGGCAGAGATCAGGAGGATCGCAGTTTGAAGCCAGGCCAGGCAAATAGTTTGAGAGACCTATCCCAAAAAAAAAAAAAAATATCACAAAAAAGGGTTGGTGTGGGCTGTTGGAGTGGCTCAAGTGGTAGAGCGCCTACCTAGCAAGTGTGAGGCCCTGAGTTCAAATCCCAATACTGCCATTAAAAAACATAAAAAAGGGTTGGTGGAGTAGCTGAAGGTGTAGGCCCTGAGTTCAAACCCCAGTGCCACAAAAAAAAGACCTTCTAACACAAATGTCAGAGACCAAAGTAAATAAACAGAATACAAAGAAAAGATAGTTTCCCAACATGGCAGCTTCTTAAAAAACTAAACATAGGTCTGCCATATGATCCAGCAATACCACTCCTAGGGATATACCCAAAGGAATGCGACTCAAGTTATTACAAAGGCACTTGCACACCCATGTTTATTGCAGCACTATTCACAATAGCCAAGCTATGGAAACAGCCAAAATGGCCCACTACCAATGAATGGATTAAAAAAATATGGTATTTATACACAATGGAATTTCATTCAGCCACAAAGAAGAATGAAATTTTGTCATTCATAAGTAAATTGATGGAACTGGAGAACACCATCTTAACTGAAATTAGTCAGGCTCAAAAGGCCAAAAACAGCATGTTCCCCCTTATATGCGGATTATAGACCCTAAAACAAACGCAGTAATATTATTGGACATGGGTCACACACTAAGGGGAGAACGCACACGGGAGGAACAGGGAAAGGGAAGGAAACTTAAAACTTGAATTTGGTTGATGTGCTCACTGTACAGGAATGAATATAGTAATCTTAAACTGGCAGAGGCCACTATGGGAAGGGGACTAGAAAGTAGTGAAGAAGTCTGGTAGAGATGAACCAATGTGAGTTTCAATACACAAGTGCATGGAAGCAATGCTAGGAATCTTTCTGTATAGCTATCTTTATGTCAAACTAGCAAAAATGCTATGTCTTTCTTATTATCTCTTATGTTTTCTCTTCAATAAAATCAGAGAACAAGAGGGCAGAACAGGTCCTACCCAGAAGAGGTGCCGGGGGTGTGCGGAGGGAGAGATGTCTCAAAAAATGTATACACGTGAGTAAATGTAAAAACGATAAAATAAAAAAATTAAAACAATTGGAAAAAAAAGATAGTTTCCATGAAACACAGTGTGTGTGTGTGTGTGTGTGTGTGTGTGTGTGTGTGTGTGTGTGTGTGTGTGTGTGTGTGTGTGTGTGTGTGTACAGAGCCTCACAAAGGCGCTCTACCACTTGGGCCACACCCCCAGCCCCTTTTGCTTTAGTTTTCAGGTAGGGGTTCTAGTTTTTGTCCAGGGCTGGCATCAGCCTGTGACTCTCCTACCTAAGGCCTTCACCTAGTTGAGGTAACAGGCACATGTCACCACATGCGGCTTATTGATTGAGATAGGGTCTTCAGATATGAAGCCACACAACTATAACCAACTTATCTTTGACAAAGGAGCTAAAAATATACGATGGAGAAATAGCAGCCTCTTCAACAAAAACTGCTGGGAAAACTGGTAAGCAGTCTGCAAAAAACTGAAACTAGATCCATGTATATCACCCTATACCAAGATTAACTCAAAATGGATCAAGGATCTTAATATCAGACCCCAAACTCTTAAGTTGATACAGGAAAGAGTAGGAAATACTCTGGAGTTAGTAGGTATAGGTAAGAACTTTCTCAATGAAACCCCAGCAGCACAGCAACTAAGAGATAGCATAGATAAATGGGACCTCATAAAACTAAAAAGCTTCTGTTCATCAAAAGAAATGGTCTCTAAACTGAAGAGAACACCCACAGAGTGGGAGAAAATATTTGCCAACTATACATCAGACAAAGGACTGATAACCAGAATATATAGGGAACTTAAAAACTAAATTCTCCCAAAACTAATGAACCAATAAAGAAATGGGCAAGTGAACTAAACAGAACTTTCTCAAAAGAAGAAATTCAAATGGCCAAAAACACATGAAAAAATGCTCACCATCTCTAGCAATAAAGGAAATGCAAATTAAAACCACGCTAAGAATTCCACCTCACCCCTGTTAGAATAGCCATCATCAGCAACACCACCAACAACAGGTGTTGGCGAGGATGCGGGGAAAAAGGAACCCTCTTACACTGTGGTGGGAATGTAAACTAGTACAACCACTCTGGAAAAAAATTTGGAGGCTACTTAAAAGCTAGACATGATCTACCATTTGATCCAGCAATACCACTCTTGGGGATATACCAAAAGACTGTGACACAGGTTACTCCAGAGGCACCTGCACACCCATGTTTATTGCGGCACTATTCACAATAGCCAAGTTATGGAAACAGCCAAGATGCCCCACCACTGACGAATGGATTAAGAAAATGTGGTATCTATACACAATGGAATTCTATGCAGCCATGAAGAAGAACGAAATGTTATCATTCGCTGGTAAATGGATGGAATTGGAGAACATCATTCTGAGGAGGTTAGCCTGGCCCAAAAGACCAAAAATCGTATGTTCTCCCTCATATGTGGACATT